GGGGGGGGGGCTCAAAGGTGTGGCTGGGGAGGCTCCCCTGCTCTGCCAGCAGCTCAGGAGCATGACAAGCCCTTCCCAACACCTCTGCCTTCCCACTCCTGCTTTACCCAAGCACACCCAGTGCCACTTTTACCACCTTTTTTTCTGCAAGAAACCAGCTACATTCTTGCCCGTGGTAATTTGAGGTCTGTTTGTCTTAACATCAAAAAATTCCCTTGACACAAATGGGTGGAGGGAGAGGCAGCAGTCTCCCTAGAGTATGACCTGCCTCTCTGAACAGTGGTTTTTCCTTCCTGCTACTATTGCCTGACTTATACAAAGGTCTTTTAATGACTTGTGAGAATATATTGATTTCTCAGGTTCCTGCTGCTGGTGTGGAGGAGGGCTTCTCAGCATAGGGTAACTTTGTTTTCCTAGGAGGAGCAGAAAGGAAGCTTGATACCAAAGCTCCTGCTGAGCTCTCTTGCTGTGCAAAATGGAGTTTATCCTGCATGTGGAGCACCTCTTGGTGGGGCTTTTCACTGATTTACCTGTTCCACTTGTGCTCAGGTCGCTGCTTTGGCCACTGCCACAGGTTGGTGTCTTTGGTTGTCACCTTGGCATGGACCCAGAGGTTTTGGTGAGCAGAATAGTCCCTCAAGATCAAAGCTGAGGCCTGGGGAAGTGCCTCTTTGTGCTTACATTCTGTTCTCTGAATAAATAAGGTTGCTGAGCTGACATTTTGTGCTAACCTGAGACTTTGCTAACTCTGCTACCAAACCTGTGCTCTGTCCTCCTAGCTGCTCTGCAGCCTGGAGCAGTGTTGGAGGACATGCAGCAGAGGGGCCTGAAAATGATTTCTAGCCTGTCATAAAAGCAACATGGCCTGAGGAGAAGTGATTGTGCTCCTGTAGTCATTGCTGGTGGGGCTGCACCTCCAGCAGGGTGCTCAGTTCTGGGCCCCTCACTGCAAGAAGGACATGGAGTTGGTGGAGCATGTCCAGAGAAGGGCAACCAAGCTGGGGAAGGGTCTGGAGAGCAAGGCCTGTGAGGAGAGACTGAGAGAACTGGGCTTGTTTAGTGTGGAGAAGAGGAGGCTGAGGGGGAGACCTCATTGCCCTCTACACCTCCCTGAGAAGAGGTTGTAGGGAGGTGGGTGTTGGCCTCTTCTCCCTAGTGGGTAACACCAGGACCAGAAGAATTGGCCTGAAGTTGTGCCAGGGCTGGTTTAGGTTGGATATTAGGAAGAATTTCTTTAGTGAATGAGTGGTCAGGCCCTGGCACAGCCTCCCAGGGAGGTGGTGGAGTCCCCATCCTTGGAGCTATTCAAGAACTTTTAGATGTGGCACTTCAGGACGTGCTCTAGTGGGCATGGGGGGTTTTGTGGGTTGTGTGGTCGTGTTGGGTCTGTGGTTATGGTTTTGTCTGGGTTTTTTTCTTTTGTTTGTTGGGGTTTTTTTTTCCCTGGGTGGATGGTTGGGCTCTTTTCTCTCCTTATCTCTCCTGCTAGCTGAACGTGGGGGCAGTAACTGGCTTTAAACCTTTCCAGCTCTCCCAGGAGGAAATGCTAATGCTGTCCTCTGGCTCTCACCTCGGGTCTTTGCATGTCATGCCAGGTGATATCCATCTCTGCCAATTTTCTGGACATATGGCAAACACTGATGGCTTCAGCTGGACTTAAGCTCCTTTTCACTTCCCTCTTTTCAAGGGGGAGCAGCACTTCTGTGCTCTCCACCTCAGGATGGAGGTATGGAAGCAGGGTGCATATTTTCTGCTTATTCAGTGTATCAACCCTTAATCTTGTCATTCTTCTCTAATTGCCTTTTTTTTCAAATGAAACAAGCAAAATCACTTTTAAAGAGTCTTTAATCCCACAGGCAATTTTGTTCCTGGCAATTTGATCAAGTTCAAACCCACTGGTTTGTAGGGGAGTTGTCTTCTTTAAACCATCTTCCATTTCTTTTCTGCCTCCTGTAGTGGAATAAGCTCTCAGCATGACCCAGGTTGCCTAGGAAAGCAAGTGTTTGGCTTCTTGGGGCACCCAGTTGAGCAGGTTTGCTCCCAGGATTTCTAACCAAGGGCAAACTCAGCCCTCTAGAAATCATCTTGCCTTGGAGGGTGTAAAGCTGGGGGTGGGAAAGAGCTGTTGCCTTCAGAAGAGGCTGGCTGGCCTCTTCTGGCTGTTCACACAGGTCTGTTGAGCTAACAGTGGGGTTTTCAGAGCAGCTGGATGTGACCATAATTAGCAAAAAAGCCTCTGGTTTGAATTTCTCCTGGCAAAGGACAAGCAGACGAATCCTCCCACAAACAAAACCATCGTCAGATCTCTTCCTAGAGAGGCCTGGGAATTGATCTGCTGTAATAAACAGCTGACATAACAGAAGTGGCAATAATCTCCCATTAAATATCTTTCAGTTGATGGGACTC